TGGTGGAGTCTTGTGGTTCACCAAGCTACATGGACCAAGGTCTAGAATCATAGTTTTAAATAGTTTGGGGGTCAAAATAGATTTTTCCAAAAATGATTTCTATATAAACACTTGGTTCAGGTTTCTCAGATTTCTCTTGGTCTCACTCAGATAGGTTTCTCAGTTTAAAACTTGGTACGCGAAGTACCTGAAAATTTAGGATTTCGGATTTAAAATAAGTTCTGGTGTTGAATTAATTTAGAACGTAACTCAAAATAATTTATTCAAACACCAAATTTATCTCAAAAATTTTTAATGGAGTGAAAATGACTATTTTGAAATTTTTTAAAATTGGATTTATAAAATAAAATTTTGAGCTATTACAAGGATTTGTTTACGGCTCAACCTGCCCGTGATGAGGACGTGGTGGATTGTGTGGGCACGCATGTGACAAGGGGGGATAATGTGCTTTTGGAGAGACCGGTTAGCATGGAGGAGGTACATAAGGCCGTTTTTGCATTGCATCCAGATAAATCCCCAGGGCCGGATGGGTTCGGTCCGGGCTTTTATCAGCACTTTTGGCCAACAGTCGGAGGTGAGGTTACGTTGTTTTGTCGCCGGTTTATTGAGACCTCAAGATTACCAGATAAAGCCAATGACACCTTGATTGTTTTAATTCCGAAGAAAACTGTGCCCCAGACAATGAAAGATTTGCGTCCCATAGCCCTGTGTAACGTACTTTATAAAATTGCAGCCAAGGTGTGTGCAAACAGACTCAAACCGTTGTTGGACAAGATTATTTGTAAATCGCAGAGTGCTTTTGTGTCGGGCAGGTTGATAACGGACAACATATTGTTAGCTTTCGAAGCCCACCATTATCTGAAGAGGAAGACACAGGGCCGGTTGGGTGTGACAGCTCTGAAGGTGGATATGAGCAAGGCCTATGACAGAGTAGAATGGCGGTTCCTGCGATCGGTGATGCTAAAAATGGGGTTCAGTGATAAATGGGTTAACATATTGCTGGAAACGATGAGTGGTGTCAATTACCATATTTTACATGACCAAAAGCAACTGGGACCGATTGTTCCCACACGCGGCCTGCGACAAGGTGACCCGCTTTCGCCATATTTATTCTTGATGGTTGCTGAGGGTTTAAGTGCCTTGATCGATAATCGGGTAAGAAGGGGAATGCTGCATGGGGTGACAATAGCGCGTGGGGCGCTGCATATCTCGCATATTTTGTTTGCGGACGACTGCTTCCTGTTTATGCGTGCAAGTGTGGAGGAGTGTGGTGTGATGAGACAAATCCTAGACCAGTATGCAGAGGCTTCGGGCCAACTTGTGAATTATGATAAGTCGCTAGTCTGTTTCAGTTCAAATGTTGATGAAAATTGTAGGAGCATGGTAACAGGTGTCCTAGGAGTACATGCGGGGGATACAACAGGGAAGTATCTCTGCTTGCCATCTTTGGTGGGCCGGAATAAGAAGGAGATTTTTGGGTTTGTGAAGGATAAGATTTTGAGTCAGGTGCGTGGCTGGAATTCTAGGTTCTTGTCGCGGGCAGGGCGAGAAGTCTTGCTCAAGAATGCTTTGCAAGCCTTACCATGCTATGCTATGTCAGTGTTTTTGTTGCCTGATACACTATGTGCTGAAATAGAGAGGATTTTTAATCAGTATTGGTGGACTGGAGTGGTTGGAGATCGAAGGGGACTGCGGTGGAAATCTTGGCCAGCTTTGTGCGAGCTGAAACCAGCAGGGGAGTTGGGGTTCAGAAGGTTGAAACATATGAACCTTGCATTATTGGGTAAGCAAGCTTGGCGGTTCTTAACACGCCCGAACTCTTTTGTGGCACGAGTGTTTAAGAGCCGCTATTTTCCGAATATGACTTTTCTTGATGCAGAAACTGGTAGCAATCCGTCGTATGTATGGCGTGGGATAGTGGAGGCGAGAGATGTGGTGAAATGTTGGGCAAGGCGTAGTGTTGGAGATGGCAGGAGTACGGTAATTGGGACGCACCCGTGGCTTGTGACTGCGGAGGATCCATATGTGCGTACCCTTTTGTACCCCACGATAGAGCATTCATTGGTTAGTTCGTTGTTGAGAGATGATGGCATGGGTTGGGATACAGACTGTGTTAGAGATGTGTTTGATGAGAGGGACGCAAGGTGTATCCTCAATATTCCAGTCAGTATTCGGCGCCCAGGAGATGCATGGGTATGGAGTGGTGATTCGAAGGGGTGTTACACGGTGAAGTCATGCTATCGTTTGCTAGTTGGGGAGATGCATGTGGGGAGGCCTTGGAATAAGTTATGGAGTCTGGATGTGCCACCAAAGGTTCGCCTGTTTGCCTGGCAGCTAGCTGCGAACGTATTACCAATGCGAGATGCTTTATTGTCTAGGCGGGTGGCTTGCATGGTTACTTGCTATATGTGTGGCGCTGTAGACGAGTTTGTTGCACATTTGTTTCGGGAATGTATGCACTCGGCTGCCCTCTGGACATCAATGCAGTTTGTGCCGACGGGGAATGTTGATGGGGAATTTGTGGACTGGTTTTTTGGTTGCTTGACGGGTTTGATGGACAAAATGCAAGCTAAGTTTGTGATGCTGTGCTGGGGTTTGTGGAGTAGTAGAAACGACGCGGTGTGGAATGGGAAGCCGTTTGTTAAAGAGAATGTGATGCATGAAACTTTGACCTTTTGGCGTAATTGGAAGGTGGTGAATGACAGTGAAAAGAGGCCAGGGGGATGACTATGGCAGTTTGGGTAAGGCCGGCTGCGGGTAGAATGAAATTGAACACGGATGCCGCATTGGATATTAACCATGGTGTTATGGGTTTAGGGTGGGTTCTCCGTGGTGATGATGGGTTGTTTTTGGCGGCATGTAGCAGGCGAGTTGCTGGGCAGTACATGGTGGAGGAGGTGGAGGCTTTGTGTCTTGGTGAGGCTGTGTTGTGGCTACGGAACACATGCATGGGGGAGGTGGATATTGATACCGACTCGCAGCTATGTTATCATGCTATGAAATCGCCACCTTTTAGCTCCGCGTTTGGTCTGCTGATACAAGATGTAAAACAGGTAGCTTCTTCAATAGGGGGGATTACCTTTTGTTATGCTAGGAGATCTGCGAACCGTGCAGCCCATGCTCTAGCAAGGGAGGCCGTTTCAGAGACAGGTCCCGGTGAGTGGTTAGATGTACCACCACTTTATCTTGTTGATGTTCTTGCTTCAGATTTAATAAATTGAGTTCTGTTCTTCAAAAATAAAATTTTGGGTTGTCACAAGAATTACCTTGAAAAATTCTTCCTCTCGATTAATGGCATTTGTCATCAAGTTAATTGACTCTCACTCTTGATCCCGATTTGGTCACGTTACCTTGACATAATCTAATTTCCTATTCGATCTCCTCCGCCTTTTATATTCTTGTTATTCATCTTGCTTGGCATAATGTAACCTATCTTTGTTAGCGTTAGATTTCCATGGAATTAATAATACTTTGTGCGCGCTTGAGAACACATAAATTTGCATGTATCACCAATCCTTTGAAAACAATAATCTCACACTATCACTTCTTCAATCAGTGAATTATTAATTACTTAGCCCACACGGGCTTAGCTTCTGTAGGTAGTATTTTGGGTAAGTGAATTAATTACTTGTTATATTTACTCGTTATATGTATTACATATGCTTATAAACATTATAAATAATATTGTGTTACTTGATGGACATCCACGGTTATCATATCTTACATCACTGGATTAATACGATTGTTAATCTCATTCTGCGTGTCGTGGATGTACAACTGGTAATTGACTTTCAATCAAGTTGAAATTTTGGCCATTTATCTGGTAAACTGGTGGGGCACCACCGGTATTAACTGTTCTATCAACTTTCCCACCCATTGACATAAAACAAAACATATTATTATAGGACCTAATATTCTCCAAAAAAGTGATTTCGTTTGTCCCCTAGATAAAAGAATAGGTCATACAATTTTTTTTGGGGGTGTTGTAGCCATAGGTATTTTAATAATCCCATTAACCTTGGACTTCTCTAATCGTACCTCGTACCAAAATACCGCACCACAATGTACATATGAATCAATAGGGTCACCAAAATCATTGTAATCTTCATGGAAAAAAATGTAATTATTATTAGAATTTGGTTTATCAACTTGTATTAAAAAACAAAGAATCTATATTTCATAAAAGAAAACGATTGAAAAATTGAAACTAACAATTTGAATAAAAGGTGTGATTTGCTCATGTTCGATTGCTTCATTGAACTCATTGTGAAAGTTTCGACATTGAGTTAAGTAATCACTCCTAACATGTGTTAATTAGCTAATAATCTTATGGTTGACCGGTTCTGTAGAGAGTTGGCTACCTACAAAAACCATATATAAAAATTTAAATGTAAATGAATATTTTTAAATTTTGTTACATGAATGCTTCCATAAAATATATGACACGTACATGACATACTTGATACAATATTCGTATTGCCAGCATCATGCATGTATTGTTGGTGTGACAGATGTTGAATGTTTTTGTGCTCCAATCGTTTTAGAAGTATCAAAATTACATTGCATACATGCTCTACTCTTTATTTTGTACTTGGATCTTACCATTATTGAATACACACAATTTCAAACATTATAAAGATTTTAAACCATGTTAACTAAACTAACCATTATTGAATACATTATTAATGAGACTAGTTAATGATGGTTGTACAATATCACCATTTTTTTCTTGAAGTCTAGTTTTACTAATCGATCACTTTTGACTTCGTTAGTATAAGTTAATATTTAATATGTTTAATATTTGTTATGTGACTTAGATTAGTTGTGCTAGTCTATAGCCTATTAGATAGGAACTCTTTTCTGTTGTATTATTGTATCAGGTTTCCTATCGTTCAATTGATTTCAGTTAATCCTAATCTCATCTGGTATCAGATAGCCAGAGATATTCATCCTCTCTCCTCTAAGCCAAAATGTCTCAAAGTTCATCGGAACGCACAATCATGGCAACCACCGTGTCCTCTCTCAACACCACCCCCAATTCCCTAAACTCCGCCCACCATTTTGTTTCAATAAGATTAACCAATCGCAACTACCTATTCTGGCCTACACAGATCATCCCCTTCCTCCGTGGTCAGGGCCTGCTGGGTTTTGTCGATGGCGAACACACCTACCCGTCGCCGGTGCTGGAGCAGCCCACCGGCGACACTTCCGACGAGGCCGACTCCGCTGCTGTCAACCCGGCGTACATCGCATGGGTTCAGCAAGATGCATCTATACTGTCTCTCATCATCTCCTCATTATCTGAGGAGGTTATGTATTTGGCAGTAGGCAAAACTACAGCACGTGACGTCAGGACGGCCATCGAAGCTACGCTCGGTTCATCCATGCGAGTGAGGTGTCTCAATCTCCTGGGGAAGTTTCAAGCCCTGCGGTAAGGAGACAGCACCCTATCGGAGTACTTAGGGAGAGCCCAATTGCTGGTAGAAGATCTCGCGCTCGCCGGACGCCCCATGTCGCTAGACGAGCATAATCTTTACGTTTTCCGGGGTCTTCGTCCGGAGTTCCGCGCCATGGCCGCCACCCCTGCCGTCTCAGGTAATCTAGTGTCCATCCCTCAGCTGGCTGACTACCTACAGGCTCAGCAATTTATACATTCCGACGAGTTTCTGTCGGGGGCAGCAGCGACACCGAACGGCTTCCCATCGGCGTTGTATGCTGGACGAGGTGGCCGGCAGTAGAATGGCGGTGGTGGTCGACAATCCCATGGTGGTCAGGGTGGACTAGACTCCTAAAGTAAGGCTTTCACTAATGTCAGTACGTAACGCCACCTCCCCGGCAACGGCGCCAATTTGATTACTGTAATTTGGGGCAAACAAATAATACCCGGAGTATTCGGGTTGTCGAACCACAGAGAGGTGGTGTACTAATCACTAGCTACTAGGTTACTCATATGAAACTAGTCTGAACAAAACTTGAAGGTTGATTGATTGCATAAAATAACAAGCAGAATAAAATAAGTAGCAAGGTTTTGTAGACAATAGAGCAAAATAGGATTCTTGGGATCACAATGTTTAATCACCTAGTGCCAATTAACGTTTGTAATATTTGGTTTGGAATTAAGATTTGTATGGGAATGCAAAGTGGAATCGAATTACTCCCGTAATCTCTATTCCTAGTGAATTTCCACTCCCATGGCTTAAACACCCAATAAGATCAAAGATCAGCATTCAATTATTCCTAATTACTACCATCTCCCGATGAGCAATAATCTAGAATAAATTTCCCCTAATAAGTTCCCCTTTCCCAAGGACCAACCATTAGGTGCAATCGTGTGTGCCCTAATTTATGCCCCAACTCCCATTGGTGACACAAACATGACTGTGAAGCTAGTAATTTAGGCCTTTAACTACCAACAACAACAGATTAAAACAAGATTGCAACACAAATCATAAAACCAAACATAAATATATTAAGAAATTAACGAACTAGGCACATAGGTTCATAAACAAATTCACCCAAAAATCCTTAAAGAATTTAGCCGAGCATGGCTAAATTACACATAGCACATATGAATAAAGGATTACAAATCATCAAAAGAGAACAAGAATTTACCAAGCGATTCTCCCAAATCTCCTTGGCTTCCTCCTTGCTTCCAAAGACAACTTGAGCCTCTTGATTCCTCTCTTTCTTGTCTACAAAGAACTCTAAAAATCTCCCCGTCTTTTTTAGGGTTGAGGAAGGAGGGATTTTATAGTGGGTACAAAGTTGAGATGAAATAGGAATCTTGTACAAAATTGGTCTCAAATTATAATTCCTATATTTAAATAAGAAATTGCCGTCCCACTTAATTGGAATTTTGATGTAGCTAGTTTGATTGCTTTCTTTGGGAATGGTGCCCCAATGATTAAGGAATCATTGCCTCATGATTTAAATTTGGTTTTGTTTTGTAATGTTGCCGCCCCTTTTCTTTTGTTTTCAGCGTCTTCGCTCGACGCGTCGAGCTGAGTCTCGACGCGTCGAGACCAGCAGGTCCCGATTACCAAACTTTCTGGAAATTTTCGACGCGTCGAGCCTCGTCGAGTTCTCTGGGCCCCGAACTTGTCCAAAATTGCTCCAAACTCATCCTTGAACTTCCCTTGCTCATGGAATTGACCTACAATGGTTCAAAAACACTAACAAACACCGTAAAACATTCAAAACAAGTGTGAACCATAATTAAATGATATGAGCAAGGAAAACATGTATTAAATAAGTAAAATTAAAGAACTTAATTACCGAGATGATTCAAAATAACTATAAAAACAAGCACAGATGTGATAACATCATGTAACAACCAGAGAGGTCGCGGGCAAGGTCGTGGAAGATGCGGCGGACCGATATGTCAGATTTGCCATTCGCAAGGCCATACAACAGTTTACTGCTTCCATCGTTATTCCGAAGCGCCGTCGGCTCAAGCCCATGTTGCAGTGACTGGAGATGGAGCCGCGGCGGCAGACGTGACCTCTTGGATCCCGGATACCAGAGCTTCCACACATGCCACACCGGACGCCGGGGCCTTGTCGCAGTCTGAGGAATATCACGACAATGACATGCTTAGAGTGGGTAATGACATAGGTCTAGGGATTTCTGGTATTGGTCATGCGTTAATTCCGTCGGTTTCTAAATCATTGCGTTTGTCCAATATTTTACATGTTCCCGAGTTGTCTGTATCGTTGTTATCTGTAAATTTTTTTGCACGTGATAATGACTGTTACTTTGAATTTCATCCATCATTTTTTATTGTGAAGGACTGCAAAACCAAGGCGGTGCTCCTTAAAGGACCCAGCTCGGGGGGCTTGTACACTCTGTCTGTCCCGAGGTCCCATTCTGCGTTTGTCACAGCCCGCACAATTTCTCTAGTTTGGCATCACCGATTGGGACACCCACACAGTCAGCCCAACAACGCATCTTAAAAGATTGCCTGGTCAAGTTAAATAATTCTGGCGGTTCCAGTTTGTGTCCATCCTGTCAACTTGGAAAGTCATCTCGGTTTCCACTAGATAGGGTAGTGAATTCTAGTAATAATGTGTTAGATCTCGTGGATACGGACATTTGGGGGCCCGCACCCGTTATTTCTGCGAAAGGTTTTCGTTATTTTGTACTCTTCGTAGACGATAAGACCCGTTTTTGCTGGTATTATCCTCTTCGATTAAAAACCGACATCTATAAAATGTTTGATAATTTCCGGGCTATGGTGGAACGTGCATTTTCACGTTCTATCAAGTCCATCCTTTCTGATTTGGGGGGTGGGGGAGGGGGAGGGGGAGGGGGGGTGGGGAATACCGTCGTTTACATATACTGTTTACTTCTTTTGGGATAGTGCATAGGCAAGCCTATACACATGAATAAAATGGGTGGGTAGAGCGCCGGCACCGACACATTGTCGAAACCGGCCTCGCTCTAATGGTTGCGGCTTCAGTCCCGCTTAGACACTGGGACTACGCCTTTGAAAAAGCTACTTACCTTATAAACCGTCTACCCTCCTCAGTCTTAAAGTTTGATAGACCATTCTACCGTCTATACAACTTGCCTCCTACTTATACATTCTTACGGGTCTTCGGGTGCCTGTGCTTTCCCTATCTACGGCTATATAATCGCCACAAGATAGAGTATCGCTCAACCCTGTGTGTCTTCCTAGGGTATCCCCCGTCCTTTAGAGGGTATCGATGCATGAACCTCCATACTGGAAAAACCTATATCTGTCGCCATGTTCGTTTTGACAAAACTGTTTTCCCTTTTACAACAGCTTTACAGGGGGCAGACGCGACTCCCGTGCCTACTCTACCTTGGGGTTCAAGCCCCGTGATATCACCTGCACTTCCGTCTATGCGGGCTCCACCGCCGGTTCCTGTTGCACCAGTTCAGGCAACTAGGAGACGTAGGATCCAGCAGGCCCCTCAACAACGAGCACATGTTATGCGCCTACGTCATATGACGCAAGGCACCGGTGAACACTTTCATGCTCTTGCCGCCATCGATTCTCCGGCTGACCCGACTTGCTACACTCAAGCGGTGGGTCATCCGCAATGGCGTGAGGCCATGTACCAGGAGTTTAATTCCCTACTACATAACAGTACCTGGCAGCTGGTGCCTTCTACACCAAACATGAATATTGTAGGGTGCAAATGGGTTTTTCGCATGAAGCGCAAAGCTGATGGAACTGTAGAGCACTATAAAGCGCGGCTTGTGGCCAAAGGGTTCAACCAAGTAGCGGGCGAAGACTTCTTCGAAACATTTAGCCCGGTTGTTAAGCCGACGATAGTCCGTATATTGTTATCTTTTGCGGTTTCCCGTGGTTGGACTCTGCGGCAGTTAGATGTCTACAACGCTTTACTTAACGGTCGCTTAGCTGAAACGGTGTACATGTGGCAGCCACCAGGTTATGAGGATCTCGCCAAACCCGATCATGTCTGTCACCTACAGAGGTATTTCTATGGGCTGAAGCAAGCACCCCGGGCATGGTTTAATCGCCTACATGAGTTCTTACTTTCGGCAGGGTTTGTCGCGTCCAAGACTGATGTCTCTCTCTTCCACTACTCGTCTGGGGCTTCCCTGGTTTTTGTGCTAGTCTATGTAGATGACATCATCATGATGGGTGATGACCCGGATTTGGTTGACTCTCTTCTTCAGCGGCTCGCGTCTACATTCAAGATTAGGGATCTAGGTGTCCCCACTTTCTTTCTTGGGATTGAAACTCTATCTGCACCTGACGGTCTCGTGCTTTCACAACGGCGCTATATGCGGGATATTCTCAACCGGGCGGGAATAACTGATTGTAAACCACTTGCCACGCCCGCATCAGTCACACAAGTTGTTAGTCAGTCCACTGATCCCTTTGACAATCTGACTCAATACCGGCGCCTGGCTGGGGTGCTACAGTATCTCACTATCACCTGGCCAGATCTGTCCTATGCTGTCAACCGGCTCTGTCAGTTCATGCATACTCCCACTGACGAGCATTGGGGTCTTCTTAAGCGTGTTTTTCGGTATGTCAAGGGCACGATGGACTATGCCTTGCGTCTATCTTCTTCCTCGACTTATGACATTCACGCCTTTTCAGACTCCGACTGGGCTGGCTGCCTTGTGGACCAGAAGTCAACAAGTGGATACGCTGTATTTCTCGGCTCCAACTTAGTTTCTTGGGTTTCTCGCAAGCAGCGCACTGTGGCTCGATCTTCGACTGAAGCTGAGTACAAGGGTTTAGCAGATGTATGTGCTGAGGTCACCTGGGTTGTCTCTTTACTCCGTGAACTTGGATTACATACATGCACACCGGCTACTCTCTGGTGTGACAATCTAGGCACTACCTATCTCTACGCCAATGCGGTCTTCCATGCACACACCAAACACGTGGAAGTGGCTTATCATTTCGTCCGCGACAAAGTCACTTCTGGGGAATTTAGGGTACTTTTTGTGTCTACGAAGGATCAGCTAGCAGAAATCTTCACCAAACCATTGCCTGCTGTGCGGTTTGGGGCTCTTAGAGACAAGCTCAATGTTGTCACTCTGCCACCTTGCGCTTGAGGGGGAGTGTTAGTATAAGTTAATATTTAATATGTTTAATATTTGTTATGTGACTTAGATTAGTTGTGCTAGTCTATAGCCTATTAGATAGGAACTCTTTTCTGTTGTATTATTGTATCAGGTTTCCTATCGTTCAATTGATTTCAGTTAATCCTAATCTCATCGACTTTATTGAACTAGTGCATCTCTATGATAGAATTCTCTACAAAAAAAAATTATAATTAATAAAATGTAAAGTATATTTATTGCTTGACACAAATTATCATCTCAAATAATTTAACAAATCCATACAACATATAGACATTAACATTTAAGTAAATATTCGCCAAACGTGTTGTATATATTAACATTACGTAACTATAAAAATATGCAATTATGTGTATGTACGTGTAACCTATCTAAGAAGCATTATGTATATATATTTTAAAATATATAAAAGGAAAAATTACATCTTCAGTCCCTGAGTTATAACCAAGTTTTGGTTCAATCCCTAAGTTATGGTCGTATATGAGTTTAGTCCTTCAGTTATGAGCGAAGTGACGAGTTTGGTTCCTAGCGTTAATATTTTGTCTGCAGCTAACGGAAAACTTAAAAATAATTTAATAATAGAGAGGTAAAACATGAATTTCAAATTATAACCCCCTTTTTATGTTGAAACTCATTGCGCAACAATCATTATTTTCTTCTTATACCTACAATCGAAGACCTTTTTCTTCCCCAAGCTTTGAAATCTCAAATCTGTCCACTCCCAAACTGCGAAATTCACAGGTAAGTTGTTTATCTATTTTATATGTTTAAATAAATAATCAATATTCCTCGTATTGATGAACTAATTTAGTCTTAATTATAGGATGTCATCTCTTAGTTGTGGTACTTCATCTTTCCCTCAATTTGAGGATAATTTTTTTATGTAGATGTGGGATTTATTACCCATCAAAATGTCATGGAGTTATGCTAATTGAGGGAAAAGATACCAAACTTGTCCATGTTATAGAGCAAATTTTTGTATTTGTCAAAAAATTGTAATCTAAGTTTTTTTTTTTTAATAGAATTGAAATATTGAAATTTTATTTTTTAGAAAAACGGGAGTAGGGTTCCTTCATTAATTACATAAGCAACTTGTGACTTTTGTCGATTTGGGAAAAGTATTTTGGCTAAGTTTACAAGTTTTATTAAAGAATTTACTTCTTTACCCCTGGAATTAACTTTGTCAACACACCACTAACGCCAGGGACCAAACTCGCCACTTTTTTCATAATTGGGGACTAAAATAGATACGGTAATAACACAAAGACTGAGTCATGTTATAACTCAGAGACCAAACTCGTCATTTTACCTATATAAAATATAAAAAGAGTAAATATCCAAAATGGTCCCTCAACTATAGCTAAATTCACAAATTGGTCATTGACTTTCAATTTTAACCAATTAAGTCCTTAACTTTGTAATTTTAACACGATTTGGTCCTCCGTCTATTTGACCGTTTGTTGACCGTGATCTCTGAGGATATATATGTAATTTCACTGCCGCCTGCTCTCATCCGCTGTCGTGACACAGTGTATTGCCCAGCCACAAGCCACTGCCTAGCCGCCCTCATCTACTACCATGACACACTCCACCGCTTAGCCTTCACCTACTGCTACGACACAATCCACCGCCCAAACACCTTCGCATAATTCATCATTGCCGCCGCTACAACCCAATTTGCAATCTTCATCAGGTCCAACGCCACAAACAACCGTGTTTGAGTCTACTGGGTGGCGCTGCGATTCTATTGTCCAACAAGAAGCGCGATTTGGGTGGGGCCAAGTATCAGCTCATGCACGTGGTCCGCACGCACAAGGGCGCCGACGATAAAGCCTACCGCTGCATTTACGAGCAGGAAAGTCGGAATCAACCTCTCAAAAGACCTAATGGTGATCGCCAGCGAAGCCCTCAAATCCAACATAACCACAATCATCCCGCTCGTTCTCCCACCGTCGGAGCAGCTCCTCTTCCTCTTCGCCCTAATCGACCGGAAAATCTTCAATCCCAAATGGAAACCCTACATTCTTGACTTCAAACAGGCCTTCGAACACTTCTGCATTAACGCTGGCGGCCGCGCCGTCATCGACAATTTCTAGAAGAACCTGCAGCTCTCATCGGAGCACGTGGAGGCCTCCAGGATGACGGTGCACCGGTTCAGAAACATGTTGTCTTCTTCACTCTGGTACGAACTCAACTACATTGAATCCAAAGGGAGGATGAAGAAAGGCGACAGGATTTGGCAGATTGCTTTCGGCGGTGGACTCAAATGTAACACTGCGGTTTGGAAATACAACCGGAACCTTAAAAAACCGACGATGGACCATGAAATTACATATATATCCTAAAAAATCACAGTCAACAAACGGTCAAATAGACGGAGGACCAAATCGTATTAAAATTGCAAAGTTAAGGACTTAATTGGTTAAAATTGAAAGTCAAGGACCAATTTGTGAATTTGTGAGTAAAAATAGAGGATGAATGATTAATTGGAAGCTTATCCTCACCCCCTCAATCCTCTTCTACCCATTTCTTATCCTCATCCTCGCTCTTTCTCTCTCTCTGTCTCTCCCTATCTCTCTATTACCAGATGGTTGAATTTGCTTAACCACTCTCAATACATAAGAAATCTGGCATATATTAAACACGCCATCATTCTTAGCATATATTAACCAATATATATATAATATAATATAATATTAAAAAAAAAAACACTGATATCTAGGTAGTGCATTGAAAGTAACCTACAATCTGTGCTTATTATATAACTAAGGTACTCTTTCTTTCCATCTAACCAGGCCAGTTGCATTGTGCTATAAAACCCCCTCAACTCTCCCACCATTTTTCACTCCATCATCATCAATATATATAAGCAAGTTTTACAAATATCATCAGTTTGAAATATACAAATAAATTAGCTAGCCATGGTTTATGAGAGATCAAATGTGTCAAAGAATGTATGTGTTGTCGGTGGCGGCCCCTCAGGGCTGGTGGCAGCAAGGGAGCTAAGGAAGGAAGGGCACAAGGTGGTGGTTTTCGAGCAAAACCATGATGTTGGAGGGCAATGGCTATATGATGCCCAAGTTGAAGGGGAGGATCCCTTGGGAAGGGCTGAAGATTTCTTGAAGGTTCACAGTAGCATTTATGAATCATTGAGGCTTATATCTCCAAGAGAGATTATGGGTTTCTCTGACTTCCCTTTTGTAACCAAGAAAGGAAGGGACCAAAGGAGATTCCCAGGCCATGAGGAACTGCTATCGTATTTGCGCGATTTTTGTGAGTTTTTTGGGTTGAGAGAGATGATAAGGTTCAATACAAGGGTGGAGTATGTTGGGATGATGGTGAATGATGATGAGGAGGTTGCAGGGAGTAATGTGAGATGGGTTGTGAAAAGCAAAGAGAAGAATAAGGTGGTGGAACAACAAGTGTTTGATGCTGTGGTGGTGGCCTCTGGTCATTATTCTCATCCCAGATTGCCTCAGATCAAAGGTTAGTTTGTGAATGTATGTAGTTTTTTTCAGTGTTGCAAAAATCGGGTCTAGGATTTTTTTCAATCTTGATTTTTTTCTTGATCAATCACAAAGTTAAAGTAACGATTCAAAAGAAAATTCAAAAAGTAGTCAAAAAAAAAAAAAAAAAAAAGCTTCAACAAAATAGATTATAGTACGAAGAACGGAGATTGGTAAAAGACAACTTTAGCACGATTGGGGGATTGTTAGGTGGAAGTTAGTAAAGCCTAAGTTTAGCACTTACCAACATCTTGAAAATGTGTGGCAGTATAAGGAAATAAAATTGAGCCTCTATAAGCTATGACTTTTGGCTAAGTGGTAAGCGCTTATCCTAACAAGTGGTATCAAATTCAGTCACAATTTTCACTACCAGCTTTAGAATCGTTTGATCCTAACAATAGTACTATTCAAAACATTATGTTCTCCAAGTTCTTGTCATGTCAAAACATGGTAGAAAAGATCAGAGTTGAACCAAATACCTTATATATTATTAGAATTATGTTATACACGCATTCCTTAGCTTATTCAATGATTAAGTTGCAACTTACTTCATTTCTTATCTAAGGTATGAATGCATGGAGGAGAAAGCAGATGCATAGCCATATTTACAGAGTTCCGGAGCCGTTCCGCAATGAGGTAAGTAATCCATTATATATATTTTAGATCAGTCAAAATATATATCATGATTGGGTTGATTTAACCTAAAAGGAGTAGCTCAAATGGCAATTGTGCTTCTTCATGGGGATGATTCCAGGATAGTCTGTGTTCGATTCTTATAAGTGAAAATTTCTCTTGCGCCCCTCGAATCAGTCGGGTGGATTATAGTGTAAGACGAACAAACATAATACCAAATAATAAGAGCCCTCCCCATTTGTGATTTTTGGGAAGGTTTTTGCAACCTTTATGTCCATCCGTCCATGTGGAAGACAGAAGATTGACGTTTTACTACAAGAATTAGTTTGTTGTGGGACCCACTAACAAACGGACATAATACCAACTACAAGAATTAGTTTGTTGTGGGGCCCAGTAACAAACAGATATAATACCAAATATTAAGAGCCTCCCCATTTGTCATTTTTGGGGAGGTTTTTGCCGTTTTTATGTCCATAGTCTATGTGAAAGAGATAGAGGGTTGAGATTTTACTACAAGAATTGTTTTTTTTTTTTTTTTTTTTTTTTTTTTTTTTTTTTTTTTCTTTTGTGGGGCTCACTATCCCACAAAAACAATTACTTTTTCATTATTTGCGCACAACTTGTGCACGCGCTTGCTGAGCACGTTAGTTCCTTTACTCTTTCTTTCTTTTCATTTTTTTTTTTTTTGCCCCCTTTTTTTTTTTTTTTTGGTCTCTCTCCAAATCATTTTTGCAAAAACCAAATAAAATCTCATCTAATGAGGTTGCTGTGATGTATAGTATTCAAAAGTACTGAAGATGTATGTTTATACTTCCCTTCAAGCAGACAAAATCAAGCTAAGGCTATATAATATACTCTATGTACAGTACAATTTAAGGAAGAGGTGACTTTGTTTTGAAACAAACTTCAAATCTGATCTTTCATATATATGTATAATTTTGGTACAGCTAGCTAGCTAGCTTTTCTCTCTCTTCCTTTTTAATTGTAAGTATTGTTTTTTAGGTGGTTGTGGTAGTTGGGAACTCACTGAGTGGACAGGATATTTCCATGGAGCTTGTAAATGTAGCAAAGGAGATTCATTTAAGTTGCAAGCATCCTAACAATATTTCTCAAGGCTTATCAAAAGTCATCTCCAAGCATGCTAATTTACACATTCAGCATCAGGTTTTTTTAGTATCTGTTCATATACTTTCTCAACCTACTGAAACACAAAGAACCAATAACGCCTCCACTGAGGCCCGAACTCATAATCTTCCAAATGGAAGTCCAACCCGGGTACCATTAGACCACATAGTCCTGGTACATTCAGCCTCAGGTTAATATATATATATATATATATATATATATATATATATATATAGAGAGAGAGAGAGAGAGAGAGAGCTAAAATTACTTTATAATAATATATAATTATGGAAGAAAATGTTAAATACATGGAGTTAACATATATAGTGTGATGGCAAAGTGCAGATAGAGTCACTGCAAGAAGATGGAAGGGTTTTGTTTGTGGATGGAAGCTCCATCATTGCAGATACTATCTTATATTGTACCGGGTAGGTATTGTTGAACATATAATATATAAAGATTACTGTACAATCTAAATATCAAGAGTGTTTTAATTGAGATTAGGGTTCACGTGTTGCTTGGAGCTCATCAAAAAGTTATTGGCCCGTACATTTGTGTTGCTTGAAACATATAAAAAATGATTAACTCTAAACATAACTGACATAAATGCGTAATCCAACTATCAATTTAGACTTTTAATTGAGATGGAACACATACTTCAATTGGTATAGATATATCTCATCTCATATAAGTTGTCTTTAGTAAAGAGAACTATCAATGAATGACAAATTCTTGCATAAATGTAATTGATCTGATGCATGTGTGATTAACTTAATTAATGGCATGGATCTTTCTTAATTATGTATGCATACACAAATTAAAAATTAACTAAACTAAACTTTGTTTGATTGGGATAATCATGGTGTTCCCTTAGAAAATAACATTCTTAATTACTACAACTTTAGTTTAGGTATGGGTAAGAAGTTGGACGTAGTCTAGTCTAATCTTAGAAGAAATGATTGAATTGAATTGAATTGAATATAGCTTCAAAAAAAAAAAAAAGAATTGAATTGAATATAATGTGACATTTTTTGGAGCAAACGATAAGTAATGAGACATAATCCATGTGGGCTTGCTTGTAACAGTTACTCTTACTCCTTCCCATTTCTTGACACCAAAGGAATGGTTGTAGTGGATGATGACAGGGTGGGGCCCCTCTATGAGCACACATTTCCTCCTTCACTAGCTCCTTCTCTCTCCTTCATAGGCATTCCAAGAAAGGTATAATGTAAATCCCTTCTCCCATATATTATTTTCTCTGCACAACTAATTAACTTTTCTATACATACAAAAAACATTACTTGATCATTAGCTCAATTCATCATTAATTGTTAAGTTTTTTTTTTTTTTTTAATTTTTTTATAATAAAGTAAGAGAGGCCAAGTCTCAAGACTAAATAATTATATGAGACGCGACCACCGGACCCTAGGTGCATCCTCCAGGATGGAGGTGCCCCAACTATTAGACTGCCCAAAATTAACAACAAATATATATATATATATATATATATATATATATATATATAACCATTCCACAGACAATACTCTGAAGCGATGCATACCATTCAAAACCCTTCCTCACACTAGAGCAAATAGGCATTTCAACGCTGGAATTTTTTTTTTTCTTTAAAAAAATACATGCATTATTCATCTCCATTATTTTTTTTTCTTCGTGCTGTAACCCTACATTTTGGAATTCCGAGTACATTATTCTTGGTTACATTCCTACAATGATTAGAATTCCTACAATCATAGAAAAGATTTTACATCAATTTTAATACAATTAAAAATCATAGCGTAATTACTATATCACTCATGACCATTAACTCTATCTTAAATAAAAGGGGGACAAAAATGATAAATCATACTAATTAATATTAGAGAAAAGGGTCAAATAGGCCCCTAAACTTTACTTCAAAGGTCAATTAGACCCCTAAATTTTAAAAAAGTTCAATTAAACACTTAAACATGTCAAATTGGATCAATGAAGCCCAAAAACCGGTAAATGACCTGTTATTACAGGTCATTTCAATTCCGGCGACAGATTCCGGCCACCGGTGACGAATTCCGGCCACCGGCGACAATTTCCGGCCGTCCAGTTGTCTTCCACTGGAGAAGATAACCAGACGACCGCCTTCTCCAGTGGAGAAGGACCAGATCTGGTCGTCTTCTCCACTGGAGAAGGTGGTCGTCTTCCACTAGAGAAGACGACCGAAAATTATCGCCGGTGGCTGGAATCCGTCACCGAAATTGAAATGACTGTAATAACAGGTAATTTATCAGTTTTTGGACTTTATTGACCCAATTTGACATGTTTAAGTGTTTAATTAAACTTTTTTAAAGTTTAGGGACCTAATTGACCTTTGGGGTAAAGTTTAGGGGCCTATTTGATAATTTTCTCTTAATATTATGCACTAGATTTGTTCTCACCCGGGGAGGTGATCTCACTTTATCTTATATATATATATATATATATATATATATATATATATATATATATATATATATATATATATATATATATATATATATATATATATATATATATATATATGGTTCAGGTGCGGGTATAGCTTCCCGTGCGGTTAGATCTGAGCTATTGATCAAATTTAGATCAACGGCTCAAATCAATGAAAATTTAAAAAAAAAAAAAAAAACGAGTGTGGAAGAAAGAAGCATAAGCTAAAAATGACGCACCTTAAGTGATAGAAACATGCACCTTAAGTGTTAGATCTTAAGCACAAACTCACGCACATTAAGTACAAAACTCACACACATTAAGCACAACCTCACGCACATTAAGCACAAAACACACGCACTCTAAATATTAACTCACAGACTTTAAGTTTCAACAACTATTGACATTAAGCACAAACTCACGCACATTAAGTACAAAACTCACGCACATTAAGCACAACCTCACGCACATTAAGCACAAAACTCACGCACTTTAATTATTAACTCACAGACTTTAAGTTTTAACAACTACTCACATCAAGCACAACCCCACACACATTAAGCACAAACCTCACGCATCTTACGCACAAACATCACACATATTAATCACAGATCCGCTCACCTTAATTTTGACCTAGATGCAAAAATTACAAAATTGCCACCGCATTTTTTTTTTAAATTTTGATAATCCTGGACGTTGATTTAAGCGAGATAAATGGCCTAGATTAAACCGCACATGGGCACCTTAACCGCACCAGAACGTAATTATATATATATATATATATATATATATATATATATATATATATATATATATATATATATATATATATATATATATATATATATATATACACACACACACCAAGAACGCACCTTAAGCATTAAAATGACGCACCTTAAGTACACAAACCATGCACCTTAAGCACACAAGCAAAACACTTTGTGAACACAAACCACGCACCTTAAGCACACAACAAAGCACCTTAAAAACACAAACCACGCACCTAAGGTTTTAAAATGGTACGGTTCACCTTAAGTTTCACACAATTGATGCACCTACCTTAAGATCGAAGGAAAACAACGCACCTTAAGAAGGAAACCCACGCACCTTAAGTTTCAACAACTATTCACATTAAGCACAAAATCCACGCACCTTAAACACAAAATACGCGCAACTTAAGCACAACGCACCTTATGTTTCAACAACTACTCACATTAAGTACACAACACACGCACCTTAAGCACAAAACTCACGTACCTTAATCACAAAAATCACGCACCTTAAATTTGACTTAGATGCAAAAATTACCAAATTACCACTGATTTTTTTTTTTAAATTTGTAATCCTGGACGTTGATTTAAACAAAATCAAAGGCTCTTCTCTCACCGAACAACCGCACTTGGACGCACTAACCACATTTAAACCTAATTATATATATATATATATATATATATATATATATATATATATATATATATATATATATTTAAAAAAAAAAAAAAAAAAAAACAACGGGGTGGCCGCCAGCCACCCTCTACCCCCAACCCCCTCTTCCTTTGTCTCCGGCGGAGACGAAGGAGGGGGAAGGGGGTGGCCGGCGGCCACCCCGTCGTTTTATTTTTTTTATTTTTATATTTAATTTTTTTTCAATTTTTTTTATATTTATTATTAAAATTTATTAAAAATTATAAAAAATGCCAACTCAACTGCCACGTAAGCAGGTAACCTATTAAAATTGATGGTAACATGTTATCCGATGAAATTGCATGCATTTGGAGTGTTGAGTGACCTAATTACATTTTTTTTTCATTCGGTGGCCTAATTGCATTTTCAGGTTACGTTCAATGGCTAATTTTTTTTAAAGGAATAAGTGCAATGGTGAATTTGAACCTTATTCCATAATATATATATATATATATATATATATATATATATATATATATATATATATTTATTTATTTATTTATTTATTTATTTACAACATTATATTGAAGGAAATTAATTGGGGTTTTTATTTTGTATGTATGAATTGAATGTGATATAGCTGATAGGGTTCCCTTTCTTCGAGTCCCAAGCAATATGGATAGCGCAGCTGCTGTCTGGAAAAAGAACACTGCCATCATGGGATGATATGATGCAGTCCATCAAGGAGTTTTATCAGTCTAGAGATCTTGCTGGCATTCATAAGCATAATACCCATGACCTTGCAGATTTTGATGTAAATATTTTACTTAATTAGCACTCCGATCCATTATATTTCTCCACCCATAACCAAATGGGAAACTAATTAATTATATGTATATATGTTGCATGCAGTATTGTGATAAATATGCAGATTACATTGGATTCCCACATCTAGAAGAATGGCGCAAGGAGCTCTGCTTATCAGCTCTCAGAAATGCTGATATCAATTTGGAGACATATAGGGATGCATATGATGATCAAGATCAAGAAATGCTCCAACTAGCTTATCAGAGCCCTCACTTCACTCAGCTCCAATCACATGCTTTTCGATGTTCCAATGAGACCATGTGAACTAAGATGGATGCACACAAATTATTTCAGGCCGGATAAATTATATTGTGTGCATGTACAAGTTCGCACAATCTTACGAGGGGAGGTGGTCTTATTTGATCACTAATATATATATATATATATATATATATATATATATATATATATATATATATATATGCATTATTAATTTGGTTGCAGGGATGGGAATAGAATATGGAATACTATTTCTCCATTCAATTTATTTCATTGGTTAATAGGTACTACTAGTGTGAAGTTTTGGAATAATATATGTTAGTTCAAGCACCAAAATTAAAGGGGAATAATAAATCCTAGCATGTAACCAAAGATACATCAAGAAGATGTAATCTATGAAGTCTGCTTTCTATTTATTTATCAAAGTCTTGATTTATTGAAACAGAGAGATATGGCATCTTATCACATGCTTTGTTTATTATGTTGAATTTTTATGTAGTAAATGATTGAATATATTAGTTTAGACATGTATGTCTATCGAAAGCATAAATAGTATTTTTGTGTTAATGAAATTGGAAATATTATTTATGTTTGGTGTGAATTTTATGATCTGATTGATAAGTATTGAGTGGAAGGGACTCATCTATCCTTAATCAAAGGTTAAATGTTCGATCATTGATTTTGAGTATGGAACAACCTGAAATTTCAGGCTAGTTGTCTCACTCAATAGAGGTGCGGCCTATAATACAGCGAGGGAATTAGTTTGTATTCAGGGTGCAAACCCTGAGAGCGATTCCGGCTTCACGCAGGCAAGTTGCAGCCTGCAATCCAAACTGAGGACGGGTTTTGGGGTTAGCTCACCCTTGCGGGATCGCAACCCTTGGTCCCGGTCATTGTAGCATGTGTGTCGCCCAGGGCATAAGGAGCATGATGACTTGACGTCATCCTCACCTTCCTCCGGCTTATCACTGGTAGTCTGTTCAGGATTCCAAATTCAACGTGGCAACTAAAAACGAGGGTTGCGCTCGTTGCGAGACTTAACCCAACATTTAAGGCACGAGCTGTCGACAGCCATGCACTACCTATGTCCGCGTTCCCCAAGGCACCCCTCTCTTTCAAGAGGTACACTAAAAAAAGAGTAAATACCTAAATTAGTCCCTCGACTATAGCTAAATTCACAAATTGGTCATCGACTTTCAATTTCAACCAATTAAGTCCTTAACTTTGTAATTTTAACACAATTTGGTCCTCTGTCTATTTGACCGTTTGATGACTGTGATTTTTGAGGATATATATGTAATTTCATGGTCCATCGTCGGTTTTTTAAGGTTATAGTTGTATTTCCAGACCGCACTGTTACATTTGAATCCACTGCCGAAAGCAATTTACCAAATCCGGTCGCCTTTCTTCATCCTCCCTTTGGATTCAATGTAGTTAAGTTTGTACCAGAGCGAAGAAAACGACGTGTTTCCGAACCAGTGCAACGTCATCCTGGAGGCCTCCACGTGCTCCGACGAGAGCTGAAGGTTCTTCTGGAGATCGTCGATCACGGTCAACAAACGGTCAAATAGATGGAGGACCAAATCGTGTCAAAATTACAAAGTTAAGGACTTAAGGGGTCGTTTACTTCATTTCTCTGTTTTTCCTTCTCCAGTTTTCCATTTCTCCATTTTTCCAGTTTTCTTTCTCCATTCTTCCAGTTTTCCATTTCTCCATTTCTCCAGTTTTTTTTCTCCATTCTTCGAGTTTTCCATTTCTCCATTCCTCCAATTTTTTATTTATCTAATTTTCTATTTTATTAAGTATTATCATCCCTTATATTATTTGTACATTTATAATAATAATAATAATAATATGAAGAAGAGGCTAATAATAAAAAAATCGGTAGAAGAAGCAAAAAACTGAAGATGATGATAATAATAATAATAATAATAATAATAATAATAATAATAATAATAATAATAATAATAATATTATTATTATTATTATTATTATTATTATTATTATTATTATTATTATTATTAATGTTTATTATTATCATTAATAATGTGATTAATAATAGTAATCTGAAGATTAGAAATGCGAAAAGATGAAGAAAAAAAAAAGAAAAAAAAAGAAGAAAGAAAGAAGAAGAAGCTAGGCGCACAGTAAAGCCCAAATGAGTGAATGACTGAAGAAAAAAACAAAAAAACAAGGCACACAACAAGGCCCAAATGACTAAGAGAAAAATCCGCGCTTAACAGGATTCGAACCGAGACCTTCTTCGCCAAGTACTATTCACGCGTGTTTTCTCCATTCCTCCATTTGGAGAGATCTAATTTTGGTTTCTCCAAATTTGTACATAAAGTGGAAAAATGGAGAAAGAATAAGGATTTGGAAAAAGGAATTTAGTAAACAACTTCTCCATTTTTCATTTTCTCCACTTCTTCATTTCTCATTTTTCTGGAAAATCCTCCATTTTTCCAAGTTGGTAAACGACCCCTAATTGATTGAAATTGAAAGTTGAAGATCAATTTGTGAATTTAGCTATAGTCGAGGGACCATTTTGGGTATTTACTCCTAAAAAAAATAGAAAGCAAATTAAAAGTACCTTCACTTTTCATACATCAAGGGGATGCCTTTTGTAGACACAAAATGGCTCAGCTCAGAGTGTCGTGTTTTGCATGAGGGGTTCTAAAGTCTCGACTGCACTCGATGTACTGTCCCAAGAAGTGAAGACATACAAGATCTGTGCTTAATGTCTTACTTGGGAAAAAAAAAATATGGTAGTCATTAATGAATGGAATTGAAATTTCATAGATTTTTAAACTATACTTATGCTGATATTTAATTATTTTTAATGAACATAGAAGTTTATTTAGTCATTACTTGCAAATTCATTAAGTCATTGCTGCACATTTATTATGTCACTATTACTGATTCATTAAACCATTAATATAGGTTCATTAAATAGTACTCCGTATTACAAATTTACTAAGTCACTACATACTAAATGTTCATTACGTCATTACAGGTTTATAAGAATCTACTTTAAAAGTGATGGATATATTAGGAGAAGGGACTCGGGGCAAACCGACCCGGGGGTCGCGATGTGATGCGAAGGGCCTTGGAGACCCCAACTGGGTCCCCGGCGTAGACCTCGGCTGAGGTCTACTACGTGGACCCTAGTTAGGGACGACCTCAGAAGTCGGCCAAAGAGGAAGGAGGC